ACATCCCCCAATAAATCCATCCCTGTTCTGGCAGTTGAACTCAGGACTGCCCTGAGAGCTTTTCGAGGTGTTATAACTTTACTTCATCGGAAAAATTAACAGTTGATGCAAAAAAGCAACAACAAAGTACAATAACCTTCATTCTAGCAAGGACAAATAACAGTTATGTTTACTTAATATTTGTTGATCACAGTTTGAGTTCTAACATATGTATTTATGTATAATGAGTATTGAATATTAAGTATTTCTTCATATTTTAACAAGTTTACTTTGGCTCTGACTATTATTTGGCCGAGGACCAAATTGTTGTAATACATACTGTATGCTTGACTATGGTATGCGGAGTTCCAAGAAAATCCCACACCTAACTTTTTTGAAAACTTGGTAACTATGGCACTCAGAGGCTCTGACGATCAAGTTTCTATCAAGACTAAATGCTACACACATGTCACTCACATGGTGAAGAAGTCACCAATATTTATATAATACAGTCCAATATATATTGCAAAACTTAACCTTCGTTAACCTCAATGGTCAATCAAAACTTTCTTTTTCTGGATAATTATTCTATCATTTCTTAATTGTTTCTTAGACTTTCAATAAAGACAACCCTTTCTTTTCCACTGTTATTTGACTTTTCCACAGCTATATTCTTATTAGCCTAGTCTCAAATAAATCCTGAGGTGTCGATAATTCAAACTGGAAGCATCCTTAAGGCCACATACCATTATGATATTATGATATTATAATAATTGAGACAAATGAATATTAATTGCAGCATAGCCAATAGATGCAGACATACCTGTAATATAGACCTCATTATCTATGTTTTTGTTGTAGTTTGTGCTAAAAATGGTTGGTTCATCGTCACATGTGTTGCTTTTACGCCCAACCAACCAATAGTAGTGTGTCAGTCTAATTACCCAGTTGTGATACTACACAATGGTTAAATGAAAACATGGCTATTGGTTGGTCTGGCCAAAATACAATACACAAGTGATGATGAACTGAACAGTTCTTGCATGACAACAGGCATTTCTCTGCAGCTATTCTCACATTAGGCCACTACTGCTTAAACCCTCAAGGAAAGGATCAGATTATAACACAATTGTGCATCTCTCTTGACAACCTGGCTTTGTTATTCTGCGTGTGAAGAAAAAAACACCCACTTTATACATATAAAGTAATTAGCACTGCTTTTGTTGCTTAAAATTAAAGAGCACTCTTTCTTTTGTTACATTGAAAAAAATTCTTACAATATTCATTTTTATTGCTACACAAAAAGTCCTCAGACTGTCCTGATTATTGAAAGAATATCTTTGCAAGTGATGCTTTTAGTAAATTTCATATATAGATTATTAAAAATATTGCCCATTTCCCATAAATAACAACAGTTACATATTTCATTCAGAAGGAAATTTTGTTTACATATTTAATAATAAAGCGGCTGTATTTTGGCTGGCATTTATAAATAATAATTTGAGGAGTTGTTAACTTCATCTTCTTTGATTTAACTACTTATTTTTTCACCCAATTACCTATAATTTCAGGCTAATTATTTCCTCTGTTGACTATTAGCCATCATGGCTATGAATCAGCTCAATTGCTCAAATACAATTTGTCCAATGCTCTTTTGAAATGCAGCGAATACGTTTGCTTTTAACCTTAAATCTTAGCCTCAAAAGAACGAATTATACCCAGAATTTTTTGCAAAAGTTGTAATTGTAAATACAGCCCTCGTGATGTGTCCAAACTGGTCGCAATTGTTATTAAAATATTCAAAAACAAAAATATTTTCGAATATTCCTGTTGTCAATATAGATGCTTGTTTTGTGTGCTTTGGAAACACGAAATACACAATACTATATTCATGGCTTTTGAGCGAAAATGGCACGGACAGAACGTTAAAACGTTCTCATATCAAATACCTGTATTGTTCGATAACTTTTACATTTCCTTACACAGCTGTTTTGCCCAGCGCTGACAGCTTGACGCAACGCAGCACGAAACCGTATCTTTTCTATATGTACTTGTTATTAATGTCCAAAAATCAACCTTAAACGCGGACTTTATTAGAACGTGCAAAAGCACGACATTTTGCAACTAAACTTGTGCAGTTTTACAAAAAATATGTAACAAAATAGACGTAGATAACATCTCTAAAGGCTCTATATGCTGTATATTAATATTTATATTTACCGGGCTTTTCTGGCCTTCAATAAACGGGCTGCTATACAACACTTAAAAGTCCGCAAAAGACGTGAGTGTAGAATAATATTAAACACTATAAAAGCACCTAGTTAATATACATGCCAAATCTCAGGACAGAAACCCAATATTTAAAGCACAAAATTCCAACCTTGTACAGCTACTGTAAATTGGCTAACTCGACTATTTTGTAACTTCAAACTTCGATTCGAAGGCAATATTTATTTGGCAAAATTCAAGACTTAATTTCCAAAATATACCTTTCTCGAACGGAAATTGTAAAGAGGGATGGTTATACTGTACAAATAAAACGTTTTTCGTCAATTTGGTGGATCAAATGTGCTGAATCTCGAACTCAGACTTGCTTAAACCATCGACCAGGAGAAAATTAACTGACATATTATAATGGAACATGTATGGAATAATTGCAACACATACTAGCCACAAATTGCAATTCGAATGCGATGGCGAAGCAATTCTGTGTTCGAAATACGTAGTTTTGTTACCAAAGTTACACATAGAAGTCACACACCTCCTGATCGCGAATTTCTTGCTGGATAAGGTCGCTTGAAGTGGTGCATTGTGTCCGAAGCCCGTCCAAATTGGAAGCGTTTATGTCGATCATACGTTGAATATAATTCATGTTATTCACTTGCGGAGCGCACGCCGACTCCACGCTGCTCGCCATCGACGTATATTTGCCAATTTCCCTTCTACTTGTAACGGATCATGACCAGAAAAACGTCGAAATTTGTTCAATTTGCTCCTAGAATCATCTTCGACCGCCGAACGTGAAATGAACACGTCACGTGACCATAACATACCAAAGGTTCATTTGGTGATTTGATTGGAGGACTGATCTATATAAGTTGTCTGGAGCAATGCTTTCAGCAACACGGCGGGGGCATATGTCAAGAAGGGGGCATGTTTATTTGCCATGCAATATAAAAAGAGTCAAATAAACGTCAATGCATATTTTCATTGCGTTACCAAGGACCAGAAAGGAAGTTTTTGTCATCAAGTCTAATATCATTTCACGAAAATCATTCAATATCGCAACTATAAATCGATCCACATATTGAACTCAGATTCTCGATTTTCTTTGAATTTAAATGTAAAACTTACTATAAAGGCTGTTTTCCACTAGGTGGAATTTTTCGCGCGGAGCGGAATTTTTCTTTGTCTTGTGCTTTCCCAGGTGGAACTAATTAGAAAAAACAAAGATAAATTCCGCTCCGCGCGCAAAATTCCGCCTAGTGGAAAACCGGCTTTAATACTTCAAACAGTCAGGTGAACATATAGACATCTTTTAAGAAAAAAAGCAGCATTCGTAGCATTCAGCATTCGTAGCATTTGAAATCTTCTCCGGAACGGAGGAAATGGAGAGGAAATGTCAGTTTCAGAGCCCATGTCAAATCTTCCCAAGAAGTGCAGAACACAGGAAATCAGAAATGCCATTCCGTCTAGAAACTAGATTTGAAAACGTAATTCGAAGACTTCCTGGAAAAATTAGTAATCAAACAAGTCTGCATTATGTATCTTCCGTTTCCTTGTCACGGACATATCACGTATACAGTATATATCGACAAATTAGCCTCGAATAAGTGCGATAATTCCGCTTTCCAACAGGCGTAATTAAAGTTAATTTATTGCAACATATATACCTGTCAGTACGCTAGGGGGATACGGATTATATTTGAAAACAATACTCACTTGATTTCGTTCATTATTCTTGTTTCGCACATAATATACACTTTACTGATATATCCCCTTACTTTTATACACAGTAGGGTAGCTACATTCTTATGCAAAATAAACGAGACACTCCATGCTCCCGCACCCTTCTCAATGTTGGTTAGTGATTGTTAGCACCGTTTCGGGCCTTCCTTGTCAATTTCGACTTCAAATCGCAACATTGGATGGGGGAAAGGGGGATAAGCCTTACAAAATCATGATGGCACGTTTTATTTTGCAAGAGATTGTAGGTTGATGACTTTGGAGTGGAGAGAGGGTAAAACAGGCATTGTCATAGATTACCAGTGCCATGGGCGCAAAAATCCTTGGAGAAGGGGGCTGAAACAGGGGTGTGCTCCTCCCCGAGGAAATGATTCCTTGCAGTGGTGAACGTTTCCCTGTGATTGGAGAACGTTTAAATAGCTTACAAGAAACTAACAAACTTGTAGCCCTGGATTATAAATGATTACAAACTATCATTAAGTTATATATACATCATGGGGCTGAAATACAATATAAAATACTGTGAGTATATACAAATAACTTATAATAAAATTTGGAATTGCCGCAATAGAAAATTCCAGGTATGGACTAAATTTTGATTTGAAATGTTGGTTGCGAAATGTTGTAAAATGCGGAAAATATACTCCATGCAAAATTTGCAAATTTTACTGATTTGTAGGCTACGCGCGGAAAAATGCAACACATTTGGGCCGAAAGTTGTGCATTTTCCCTTGCGTAATACATAGAGGACCATGAGAGGATATTTATTACACGGGCGGCCCGAAGATATGACTTCAAGCCACCGCGGTGTAATGTTCTGTTTATCAGTATCGCAAGCAAAAATTGTGAAATTTCACGCTCAAATAACAGCAAATTGTCAAATGTCACGTGATCGATATCTTCACTGGTGAAGATATCGGAAAATATGTCACTGTGTATTTTTCAGTATTTCACTCTCTACTACCTGGTATATAATAAAAATTAATACAAAATTTGCAAATTTCGTAGGGCTATATTTTTGTTCTTCTTCTTGCCGAGATCAAAATCTTGCCGAGATCTTGCCGAGAGAAAAAAAGTTGGTTTGAAAAAAGTTGTTTTCTTAACGTATTTTTAAAACACTTTACAGGAGTTGAGGCGAGCGTGTTTTAAGTCTATATTGTTCCATAGTTGTATACATGCAAGTAACACTAAATCAGTTCTACCACCTATTAGTCAGTTTATGTTTATAAGATGGACACTTAAAATTATAATTAAAATATCGTTTTGATCTTTTGCCATATCACTTTTTAATTGAAGAATATTCAGGGCCGTAACTGGACGCAATACTTGGAGGGGGGGGGGGG